TAACCCACACCCAACTGTGCACACCAGCACTGAACAAACCAAGTGGATGAAGGTTTCTCTGTGAAGCTCTGGTTAGGATAATTATGCTTATTTCTACAAGAGAAATAAAAACATTTTTATTCATATAAAACAAACAACATATGTAGTTCATGAGCCAGGACATGTTCTGTGTCTGAGGTTTGCTTCTTTAGCTTTAACACTGTTTCTCTGCATACTTTGTTAGCCCCCTTTTACCCTGTTCTTCAGTGGTCAGGACCCCCATGGACCCTCACAGAGCAGGTACTATTTGTGTGGTGGATCATTCTCAGCACTGCAGTAACACTGACGTGGTGGTGGTGCGTTAGTGTGTGTTGTGCTGGTCTGAGTGGATCAGACACAGCAGTGCTGCTGGAGTTTTTAAACACTGTGTCCACTCACTGTCCACTCTATCACACACTCCTACCTTCTCAGTCCACCTTGTAGATGTAAAGTCAGAGATGATAGCTCATCTGCTGCTGCACAGTTTGTGTTGGTCATCCTCTAGTCCTTCATCAGTGGTCACATGACTCTGCCCACAGGACGCTGTTGGCTATTTTTGGTTGGTGGACTATTCTCAGTCCAGCAGTGACACTGAGGTGTTTAAAAACTCCAGCAGCACTGCTGTGTCTGATCCACTCAGACCAGCGCAACACACACTAACACACCACCACATCAGTGTTACTGCAGTGCTGAGAATGACCCACCACCCAAATAGCACCTGCTCTGTGAGGGTCCATGGGGGTCCTGACCACTGAAGAACAGAGTAAAAGGGGGCTAACAAAGTATCAGAGAAACAGATGGACTACAGTCTGTAACTGTAGAACTACAAAGTGCACCTATATAGTAAGTGGAGCTGATAAAATGGACAATGAGCGTAGAAACAAGGAGGTGGTCAGAATGTTATGCCTGATCGGTGTATCTTTAGTCAATGTTTATATATAACAGTGCGTCATTCACTGTCATCAAGTCTATTAGAGATTACTAGTAAGACATGTTAGATTACTATGTAAAACTGAAAGCTTTACTGAGAGAGGAGAATATAAACAGGCTTAAATATGGTGCTGCTGCTGTGAGTCGCTCTGTAAAGCCTGAAATAATCATTTAAAAATCAGAGGTCGAGTCAGGAGTTTTTCACACCACGTCGTACATCTTTACGTGTTAACTTGACACACACAGACTCTAAAAGGAGGTCCGGCTCGATGTTTCGGCCTCAAACGATCCCAAATTAACATCATACTGATGAAGATGTGATGACAGTAGTAGATAATTCACTCACATCCTCAGAGACGCTCCTTCACCAAGTTTAGACTGAGTTCTCTTTGAATTCCCTATCAGTCATCAGATTCATCCACTCAGGGAAGGACAACCAATGCTACACAATGTTTTTCCACATGCTGCATGCAGTTACACACTTCCACCAGAGAGGTCACCAAATCCCCAAAACGTGCACAGTGCAGCTTTAACAGCTTCACACTGTTTGAGGGGAATGTGTGATGATTAAGGCTATGCAGTTAGCACTATGCTAACTGGTGGGTAGAAGCTTCCAGTACTTGTTAGCTACATTAACCTCATACATTTTTCTCTCAACTATCGCTTTAATAAAGTATTTCTACTCATGCCACAGTGAAGCGAGTCTCACTCTGCTCTCCTGTCCACGGAGCTGCCATTAACAAAAATAACACAGGACTCCTCTCCATGCAGGAAAGGCCGGGGAGTGTCCCGGTCTGAATCCCACAGCGCGAACAGAAACGGCGCCGAGCGGAAGCCGACCTTTCAGCCGCTCCATTCTGAGCCCCGAGAGGGTGACGACATCACAGTGCCTCCCAAACACACTGCACTGTATGGATAAATATATGCGTGTAAACAATGCTGCTATTCATGGCGCTCTCTGAATGAGCGAGATAAAGGCTTCACCTCCTCCCACAGTCAGCTTTAACTGACCACACCATACAAATCAAACAAAGGCCTTTAAAGCCTTTCCTTTATCTGCAACATCCAAGCCACCATATGTACGGACAGTCAGTCGAATGCAAACGCTTGATTTTCGTGTCTTACTGATTTTCTAAGTAACACATTCACAGTAAACAAACTTAAATATTGTATTTGCAGATTTGTATGATTGCTGAATCTAACATGTCATTGCTATTATTATTATATGAGTCGAGACTGAAACTGCGATACAAACGCCCACGGTCTCTCACATGGTTGCCGGAAGTGTGAATCTTGATTATTATCAATTATTGTTATTAATAATTATTATATAATATTTATTTCATATTATTTGTAGTAGTAGTAGCAGTAGCAGCAGCAGTATTGTTATAATTAATATTATAATTAATATTATATTGATATAATAAAAATAATATATGCAACACTTGCTGAAACCACTATGTCTGTATGACTATGCCTGACTAAATGTACAATATCACCGATCTGGGAATTGGTCCAGTATTTGACATCCAATATTTTTTCATGCAATATCTGCCAACGTAGATACATAATTATTTATAACTTCTAGAAATGGGACAGGGTCCACTTTTAACATTGCACGGAAACATATATACAGTATATACACTTGTAGAGGGCGACAGATGCAGTAAAATGATTAAAAAGCAGGTATTTTAGTGCAGTAACTCAGCACCACCTAAACATTCAGCCCTTCTAAAGTTCAATAAATACATCACCAAATTTCAGCTTGAAATACTGGTTCAAATTTAATCTGAAACATATTTGACGCCTTTTGGAAAAACACTTTACCAAAAAGAAAATGATCCTCTGGAATGATATGTTCATATATTAACTGCTACTTCCCAAACACAATAAACCTAATACACTTGTAGGTATGGCACAAATGTCCAAATACTTTTTGAGTACATACATACACACATTTGACTGTCCTCTTCTCCAAATTATTGCTAACAGCTCATAGTGAAACCCTTTTGGCCCAAAGTTAGTTTGAGCGCTGACGTCACAATAAAGGCATAAAATGTGGCCTTTGGCTTTACTCCCACACTATCACTGTCACTGTCACTTATATCAGCACAAATATTTATTTATGATTACCTATAAATAAACCTTATCAGGCTCTAACATGATGTGTCAGTGTTAAAACTCTGAGAAAACGCACTCGTTCTGAAAAGCTGGCTGTCTTTGGCGGGCAGCGTGTGTGTAAATAGGACCATGAGTTCACAGCATGCTGTACAGTAGCTACAGCTGCAGAACAGGCAGCATGACGAACTGCCAGCTCCTTTTAGAAGCAACACATGGCAGTGTGTAGTTTACAGCAGTGATCACATGCTGACGGTCATGGGACACACAGAGAGAAGGGCACTCTACACACTCACACAGCACAGCCCTCAGCCCTGCCAGCGCAAACCTGTAAAACCTTTACACACCTCACTGTGAAACAGAACTCTCAGAACAGGGGCTTATTTAGTAGAGGAAATCACAGTAGAAGTAGAGAAGGAATAATAATAATAATAATAATAATAATAATAATAATAATAATAATCACTCTTTATTTGGATGGTCCCCTATAGATGATCTACAGATATGTATGCCATTAAACTTTTTGATACTCAGTTCACTATCAACAACATTAAGGTTAGGTTTAGGTCTAGGAGTAGGATTAGGTTTTGCTTTGAGGTTAGGGTAGGGCTTAGGTTTAGGGTTAGATTTACTAGAATCATTCACACACAACTTCAAGTTCAGTTGCTTTTAATAGATATTTAATTGAATGTTTGTTAAAGATAGACTGAGCATCTACAGTAGACCATCCAAATAAACTGTTACCATAATAATAATAATAATAATAATAATAATAATAATAATAATATTAATACTTCTATAGTTATCACTCCCATATTAAACAACTACACTACTATCTTCAAAGGGGGTTCTTTAAGGGTTCTTCAGTAAAGCCAAGAGTTATGTATAGAACCTTGACAAGTCAAAGAACCATCTGACTGGTTAAAATAGTTGTTTTCTATGAAAACCTCTGCATATTGTCGCTGTCGGGCCGCGCATCATCTCCAGAAAAGTAACCTTACAGGAGAAGCAAAGAAAAGTTCTTGACTTATACTGGAAGTTAAAGTAAAATTATTCTGTTTGAAGTCATTTCAGACCGTTTCTATTGGTTCATTCATCAAGAAATTTCACACAATGTACAAGTCAGGTACATTCAAATTATGGGGTCATGATGACCGACACAAACTTACACAGGCTTATTCTAACGTTGGTCAGGTGCTGTAACACTGGCTGAGATGACATAGCATCAAACGGGACAAAAGCAGCCTTTATGACAGCTGACGTCAGCTGGAATAAGCCTTCATCACAGTTAATGAAAGGCTTATGTAGGTGTTGCGTAGCCTTATGAACACTGCAGTGAAGTGCTCCAGAACTCTTTTAGCTTCATACAGTTAGAATATTTACACTGTATAACTACTTTTAACACCGACTTGCCTACACTGTTAAAAAAGACGGTTCTTCAACGGTTCTTTAGTAAAGACAGTGGTTCCATAAAGAACCATGAACATTCAAAGAACCATCTGCCATGCTTAAATGGTTCTATGCATTATGAAAGTATTCTTCAGATTGATGGTGAATGTGCTGTATATGGTTCTACGTAGCACCAAAAAGAGTTCTGCTATTGTTACGATGCCAAGCCTGTAACAGAAGAACTTGTTGGTGCTAAACAGAACCCTTTTAAAAAAGGTTCTACATAGAGCCACGTACATAATCAATCTGAAGAAATATTTCACCCTGCAAAGAACTCTTTAAGCATACAAATGGTTCTTTGAGTGTTCATGGTTCTATGTAGAACCAATGTCTTTACTAAAAAAAAATTATTTAGAATTATTTATATTTATAATTATTTTTAAATTAATTATAGCCGTCTGTATAAATGTTATGTAAGTAATACGCAAATAATTATGCAGCATTTATAATAACAAAAGCAATGACAACAGTAAGAATCATCTTACCTGCCACTTGTTCCTCGCGTGGTTTCTCTTTCTCACTACATTCCTCCTCTGCCTGATTCCTCCCCTCGTCCAGGCTTTTGCTCTCACATAACCCTCCAAGGCTGCTGGCCGTGTCTGAAGGTGGCAGGCCTTGGGACAAACCACTGTCCACTTCCACAGGGGAGCTGGTGTCCAAACCCAGGAATGTACCACTATCCTTATCCAGAGGCTCCACAGGCTGGGCGGAGGCACTGAGTGAGTCGGAAGTGGAGGTGTTGTCCAAAGAAAAGCCTGAATCACTGTGCAATTCCACAGTTATGGCAGAGCTGCCCGGCAATGGAGCTTGGCCTTCAGCCCCAGAGGCTATGACCTCAGATTGAGGGTCAGGGAATACTGCACTGCTGTCTTCCTTGGATGCAGAATCACATGGAGATGCTGAAGATCCATCAGATACTTGTGAAGCAATATCCAAGCTCGCACTCTCCTCATTAAGCTTCACACAGTCCTCCTTGGTCTCGCTGGACTCTCCTGGCTGTCCGTGTGAAATCGCTTCACAATTGCCAGCAATTGCAACTGTAGCTTCCGAGGAACTACACGATAGCTCCTCAGGTTTGGAAGCTGGTTCCGTTAGCTGTAGAAGAACCTCCTGAGTCTGATCTACAGCTGACGCTTCATTCTGTGGACTCTGGATTTGATTTGTGGTGTCTGTGACCAGTGCAGTTTCATTTTGTGGCTCAGAAAGTGCTTGAGATGCTCCTGGTGACGTCTCTCTAACCGCAGCCTCGTCAGAAGAAGATGCACCTTCTGTTTTTTCTGTTTGCCCAACTCCAGCCTCGACTGAAGGAGATGCACCTTCAGTTTTTTCTGTTTCCCCAACTCCAGCCTCAACTGAAGGAGATGCACCTAAATGTTCTCTTGACAATGTTCCTCCAACTGCAGCCTCGACTGAAGGAGATGCACCTTCATGTTCTCTTGACAATGTTTCTCCAACTGCAGCATCGACTGAAGAAGATGCACCTTCATGTTCTCTTGACAATGTTCCTCCAACTCCAGCCTCGACTGAAGGAGATGCACCTTCTGTTTTTTCTGTTCCTCCAACTCCAGCCTCGACTGAAGGAGATGCACCTTCACGTTCTCTTGACAATGTTCTTCCATCTGCAGCCTCGACTGAAGGAGATGCACCTTCATGTTCTTTTGATAATATTTCTCCAACTGTAGCTTGATTAGAAGATACTTCACTTCTTTGTGATGATTCTCCAGCCTCATCAGGAGGAGATGCAACTTCACTTCCTCTTGAGGTTTCTTCAACTCCAGCCTCATGAGAGGGAGATGCACTTTCACCTCCTTTTGATGTTTCTGCAACTGCAGCCTCAGCTAGAAGAGATGCATCTTCAGCTTTTCCTAATGTTTCTCCAACAGCAGCCTCATCAGAAGGAGATTCATCTTCATTCACTCTTGGTAACGTTTCTCCAGGAGCCTCATCAGAAAGAGATGCACCTTTACCTTCTCCTGATGATGTTTCATCAGTTTCAGCCTCGGCAAAAGGAGACGTATCTTCTCCTCCTCCAGGTAACGTTTCTCCAAGAGCCTCATCAGAAAAAGATCCACCTTCACACACTCCTGACAATGACTCTCCAGATGAATCCTCACTTCCTCCTGACAATATCTGAGCCTCATTAGGTACAGCCACACTTAATAAATCCACCATGGGTTGATCACCTCCTGCAGGGGTTTCTGAACCTTCTTCTGAGGCCTTTTTCTCATCTTTTGGCTCAGCCAGAAGACCCTCTGTTGGAACCATTTCACCGCTGCCTTCCACAGCTGAGGAAGAAACAGCAGCTATGGCTTCAGAAACACACTCACATGGGTTCTCTTCATCAGACAATCCATGAACTCCTGCTGCATCTTCAGAAGGTGCTGCTTTGTCAGTGGAGTCACTAGACGAGTCAGAAGTCCTCACCTGCTCTGAGCAATCTGATGTGCCTTCTGCTGGAGAAACTGTGGTTTGATTGGTTTGCTGATGTTGGTCCTGGTCAGTCGTATCAACCGTTTCCTCAGCTGTCCGGCAGTCTGGGAGAGGAGAAGGTTCATGCTGGACGTTGTGGATGGGTCCCGGTGCCATATTGGGCCGCAAGCTTATCGAATCCAATGCAGAGCCACTTTCTGAACCACTAAATCCTTTGTCCTGCTCTGCCTCTACGTTCACACTGTGGTTTCCTGTATCTTTCTTTGGGCTGCTCGCAGCCTCATTGCCAGTTTCTAAACAAACAACAGCTTCCTCACTTGTTTGCGAGGCATTAACTTCTGAATTTACCCCAAAAGTAGCATTGAAACTGATGGAATTTGCCTCCGTTCCTTCACAGCAGCCTTCCACCTTCACCTCACTGGTGTTTTGGCCACTTTCCTCAGAAATGCTGATGTTCTCTGAGCTCAGGCTTGGACTTTCCTGATCAATCAGTGCCTGATTAGTGCTGAAATTTCCTGAATTTGCCTCTGTCCCTTGACCGCAGCCTTCTTTCTTCACTTCACTGGTGTTTCGGCCACTTTCCTCCAAAAAGCTGATGTTCTCTGAGCTCAGGCTTGGACTTTCCTGACCAATCAGTGCCTCACTAGTGCCAAAATTGACTGAATTCACCTCCGTTCCTTCAGAACAGCAACCGTCCGCCTGCTTCTCGCTGTCCTCTCGGCCGCCTTCCTCTGAAACGTCTTGCCGAAGTGCGCTCGAAATTGCAGTTTCCTGACCACTGCTAGCCTCTCCTTCCTTTTCCTTTGGTAAGTCCCGTCTCCTATCGCTTTCCTCACTGCGCTGAGTTTCTGAGGGGAGGAGCCCCTGGGACTGGCCCATAGCTGCCTCCTCCGGGTTGCCAGATTCAGCTTTATTGTACGTTTTGTTTGAAAAGTGCTCTTTCTGCTCCGCTGTGATTACACCCACCTCTCTATCTGCTTCCTCCTGCTGCCGTTCTCCACAGGAAGCGCCACTGACAGCCGCACTCTCCTCCCTGCCCTCCGCACACACACCCTCACCAGCCACCTTCCCAGAATCCGCTCTAGCCGATCCGTCCGGCTCCACCTCCTCCAGCTCTTCTGACTGGATATAATCCCTAGTGCCGTTCAGGAGCTCGCCGTTCCCTCTCTCGGCTTCAGCTTCGCGATGCTCCGCTGGGTTCTGGAGGGAGGGTCCAGGGCAGGAAGTTATTGCGGCTTTCTGAGAGCTGTCGCCGATATCTCTGCTCAGAATCAGTGAAACGTGGTCCTGCCCGCTCAGAGAAAGACCCTGAACAGAAGGAGAGAGAGAGAGAGAGATAGGTCTTAAACCGGCACTCATTAAAAGTGACATAAAACATTAACCCAGATTCGCAGGCAGGGAGAGAGACGGAGAAGAGGGGAAAAAAAGCAAACAGGCCGCGATCTGTTTTTAGTCACCGATAGCAACCACCTACAGAGTGTATGGAGCTCACAAAACAAATAAGCTCCTTGATGACTCACAGCTGACACAAACCGCAATGTGCTAACCACTTAAAGTGCCAGAGCCTCCTCATAACTACATAACTTACATAGTACAGTCACAGCAGCCGAGTTACAGCAGGTACTCAACAGTAAGTTTTAAGGGCCCATATCATGGAAACGGATCTTCGTCTCAAAACATACCACAGTCCATACAGTCTATATCTGCTATTGGAACAAAACCTTCATCTCTAAAATGGTAACTTCACAGAAGAAGGAAAAAACATACATTACTTTTAATGTAAGTCAATGGAACCAGACTTTTTTCCAAGTCATTTTGGGTCGTTTCTTTTGGTCCATTCATCATTGAATTAACACACAATGTAAAAGTCAACAGATATTTTCAAATTATGTCAAAAACTGAAAAACAGACAAAAATAGAAGTACAATCATGTTACAATAATTAAAATATTTGCATATGACTGCCCATTTACCCACAGCTTAGCTCTTACAATGAGTTTTTTCATCATGGACTGCTTTTTGAACGAGCCAGCCAATCAGAACAGAGCTAATTTACATATATAGGGCAGCACAGTAGCAAAACCAGCCTGTTTAATTCTAAGCAGAATAAACAAAGGTTTGAAAATGCTGAGGCTCTGCTCAATAATTTGAACACTTAAGTATCCGTACTTTGGTAACTGCTTCTGTGTTTCATATTCGAAACATCTGTCTTTGTTTGAGCCACAAAATTGTATTGTTTAGATAAAAAAATGCAGGAACAACAACACATTTCATCAGCAAAGGCCTTTAAACAGACATGTTACTGTAAATATCTTGAAAATGCTAAAATGAATTAAATCATAGCTGGTTTAACTGAAAGCATCAGGAATTTAGGCCATTCTTCTATGTCGTCTCGTGATTCATTAAAGCTGCATTTAAACGAGAGGGCTACAATCACGGATTCTATCAGAGCAAACTTCGGTGCACAAGCAGCTGGGCTTCAGCCTGACTATTAATGAATCACTGCCACCTACTGGACACATACTGAACTGCACTGAAGAATAAGTTTGAAATCATGGATAATTATGAACAACAATCATTAATGCTTTAAGTATGACTGAGAAAGTATTTATGTGCATTGTTTGAGCATTCAAAGCCTGTAAAATGGTAAACCGAGGCTTATTGGTGTGCTCAGATGACTTTTTCCATATATATATCTATCATGGAGAGTCAGTACGGTGCTCTACAGTAAAAAGTTTGAATCTCCCAGTGAAGTTCACTTTACACCAAGGCACTCCCACCTATGATTAAAGATTAAAACTGTCAGTACTTCAAGGGCAAAGCCATATATAAAATGCAAAACAAGGATGGGGCAGAATAGAGAAACACACACACACACATAGTGGCCTTGGAAACCCAGAATACAAAGAAATGTACACTATGGTCTCTTTAAGGTTAATAACTGAATAATAAGACCATTTAAGTGGTTAAAGGGGAATTTCACAGGTCTTTCAAAATTCCTGTATAATTCAGGCCTTAAGATATAAACAGAGTCACTCAGAGTGGTTTGGTGTGAAATGCTTCATTCCAGAGAAACTTACCACGTTAGAACTGTTCACAGTGGTGGTGATAGGAACCAGACGTCCACCTCTAAAAGCTCCCTCACAGAAAGTTACTACGTCTGAGATATTGTTCATTTTGATACATGCAGGGCGCTATGAAAACAGCACCCAAAGAAAACTTATTATTTCAGATTTTCCACTACTTTCCATCAACATTATTCCATATAAACTCAGAAGACTCGTGTAGGTTCACTGGTGGTTCTGGATAGTAAATAAAATGTCTATATTTGTGTTGTAGTCATGGCGACCCCTGGTTCCTATCACCACCACTGTAAAGACGTCTGAACCAGTGAGTTTCTCCAGAACAGAGCATTTCGCACTAAACCACTCTGAATGACTAACATCCCAAACACTAAATAAAAGAGAAATTTTGAAAAATGGGTGGAACTCCCCTTTAACCTGGCAGGAGCTAACACATCCTAAGCAGAGCAGTGCATCACCTTCTCCTGCTGATGGGACTGAATGAAGCGCTGGAGTTCCTCCACGTCCGCCCGCAGGTCTGGCGGAGAAACGTCCGTCTCGCTGTCCACTGTCAGCGTGTAGGTGTTCAGGCTCGGATGGTGCAGGAATGCTCGGCCTCCTGGGGAACGCCGCCTGGGTGCCTTAGTTTCGTAACAAGGTGAGTCTTCCAGCCTGAAATCATAAACAGAGAGGAGGAGGACAACCTGTGAATGAGGAACACACCTTCTACACCCACAACACACAGCCACACCTTCTGAATCAACACCGCGCTCAGCTGAGCCACATTTACACAGAGCTTTACACAACAGAAGCACTTACACCACCTCGGGGCCTGCAACAAACACACACACACACACGCACACACACACACACACACACACACACACACACACACACACGCGCACACACACACACACACACGCACACACGCACACACGCACACACGCGCACACAGTGTTTAGATGTAAACAGAGAGATTCAGAGTGGTTTGGTGTGAAATGGTTCAGATGTCTCTACAGTGGTGGTGATAGGAACCAGGGGTCGCCATGACTACAACACAGATATAGACATTTTATTTACTATCCAGAACCACCAGTGAACCTACACGAGTCTTCTGAGTTAATATGGAATGTTGATGATGGAAAATAGTGGAAAATCTGAAATAATACGTTTTCTTTGGGGACTATTTTGCCTCACAACACCCTGCATGTATCCCTCCACAATGAATGGAGTTTAAGGCCAAAATCTTCTTAAAACTATCGTAAATGTATGTCTCTGACATTTCATGTAGGAACTTTCTGTGAGGGAGCTTTCAGAGGTGGACGTCTGGTTCCTATCACCACCACTGTGAACAGTTCTGACTCTAGAACGGAGCGTTTCACACCAAACCGCTCTGAACCACTTTGTTTATTTCTTTATTTCTTAAACGTTTTATTTTGCGTGATTAGATGTTATACCAAGAAATTTTGAAACATTTCTACTGGTTCATTTTTCACAACGCATTCACACAATGTAAAGGACAGCTATGAGCTGAAATGATGTATTTAAAAAAAAATTAAATAAAGCAGTTATAAGGTTTAAACATGACAGCGATGATGTTTTTCATAATCAAAAAAACAAATTTGAAGTTTCCTTCCTCTTACCACAAATCCAGTCCATCAGCCAGGACAAGTTTGGTTGGTTTTAGCACTGGAGCTATGAGGCTAATGTGGCTAACATTAATAGAAACTTATACCCCACCTAAGTACATGGTGCGAATCATTACTGACAAAGCATGTGGAGGTGTTCAGTGTCTCTAATAGACTTGATTCTGTGGTTTCTGACACTGTATGACTCACTGTTATCTATAAACATGGACTCAAGTACAAAATTCAGCCTTCAAAAAGCATCTATACAATATACTGGTCTATTTACACAACAGTATGTTGCATAGTATTAAAACACAATGCTAACCGGTGAGGGTATAAGCTTCCATTACTTATGAGTGACATGAGCCTCGTAGCTAATGTAGCTAAAGAAGCAAACGTCAGACACCAAACACGTCTTGGCTGATTGTCTACACATGAGGGAAATCAGATTTTTTGAGAAGAGAAATAAACCCTCTGCTCCCTGAGCTGCCTGTACTGTTTCCCGTCTTTGAGCCAGTGACCCTGCAGACGTCGCTCTCCCTGGCGAAGTGTCTCACACACACTCTTAAGCTGGACTCCAGTGACCCAGACTGGCGGCCAAAGACATCTGATTCTCCATCTGCTCAACCGAGCGAGACGACGGGGAACTATCAGTTCAGAAACTCTCTCCAAGTTTGCTTTGGCTGCAAGGACAACCAGGCAAGCAGGAGGGACACTTGCGCTGTGTCTGAATCTATGCCTAACTCAACAGGCAAGACACTCGTCTGCAAGCAAGTGCACTATGTAGTGAATAGCTTTGGACACCTCCAGGATAGAGCACTATACTGGGAATAAGGCACAGTTTTGGACAAAGCCTATCTAGGCCAGACTGTATAGTAAACAGGGCATGGCTTTGGACTTCACACCAAAACACTACACTGTAGAGCATGGTTTTATACATGGTCCAAGTGAAAATACTACATAATAAAGACAAAATAGCACAAAATAGTCTACTACCAGTACAGTGTAACAAACTGGGTCTATGGTTGGACCCCACAATTGTACAGAATTTAATGCAATGGACATAGTTTTGACTGTGTCCACAGTATGTTATTTTGGGGTGTGTCCCAAACTATGCCTTGTTCATGATATAGTGCACTAATATGTCAATATCCCCTATACACTGCATAGTGAACCACTGTGTTAAAAAAACTGTGCCCTATTCACTGCATAGTGCACTTTGTTGTCTGAAACTGTGCCCTATTCACTGCATAGTGCACTTTGTTGTCTGAAACTGTGCCCTATTCACTGCATAGTGCACTTTGTTGTCTGAAACTGTGCCCTATTCACTGCATAGTGCACTTTGTTGTCTGAAACTGTGCCCTATTCACTGTATAGTGCACTTTGTTGTCTGAAACTGTGCCCTATTCACTGTATAGTGCACTTTGTTGTCTAAAAACTGTGCCCTATTCACTGCATAGTGCACTTTGTTGTCTGAAACTGTGCCCTATTCACTGCATAGTGCACTTTGTTGTCTGAAACTGTGCCCTATTCACTGCATAGTGCACTTTGTTGTCTGAAACTGTGCCCTATTCACTGCATAGTGCACTTTGTTGTCTGAAACTGTGCCCTATTCACTGCATAGTGCACTTTGTTGTCTGAAACTGTGCCCTATTCACTGCATAGTGCACTTTGTTGTCTGAAACTGTGCCCTATTCACTGCATAGTGCACTTTTTTGTCTGAAACTGTGCCCTATTCACTGTATAGTGCACTTTGTTGTCTGAAACTGTGCCCTATTCACTGCATAGTGCACTTTGTTGTCTGAAACTGTGCCCTATTCACTGTATAGTGCACTTTGTTGTCTGAAACTGTGCCCTATTCACTGTATAGTGCACTTTTTTTGTCTGAAACTGTGCCCTATTCACTGTATAGTGCACTTTGTTGTCTGAAACTGTGCCCTATTCACTGTATAGTGCACTTTGTTGTCTGAAACTGTGCCCTATTCAGTGTATAATGCACTGTTTTGTCTGAAACTGTGCCCTGTTCACTGTATAGTGAACTATTGTCTGAAACTATGCACTATTCATTGTATAATGTACTATTTTGTCTGAAACTATGGCTTGTTCACTGTTTAGTGCACTATTTTATCTATCACTATGCCCATATTCACTTTATAGTGCACCACTGTGTTCTAAAACTACGCCCTGTTCACTGTTTAGTGCACTATTTTGTTAAAACTATGTAGTATTCACTGTATAGTGTTCTATTTGGTAAGTTTGTTATTTTGTAGTGGGGCCGGAAAAAACACAGTGGAGAGTATGTAATCCTCGAATGCACTGCACTAGATAGTGTACAAGAAATGCACCCAAGCAAGACATGGAATACCCATAATGCACTGCGTCGTGAGAGAAAGTCTCAAACACTGCTTGTGTCGTGCTTCAAGTCAGAGAGAGGCTCATTACAGTTTGTGTATATCTTCTGCTGTTTACCCAGAGCTGCACACTCTGTGCTTTCTTATCACAGTCCCGATATTTCAACATCAGCTGACTGAAAAATGTCCCAGAGTACCTGGCCAAATTCTTACAACTCGCTTTTACTCACATGCATCGATATTTGTGTTTGTTGAAGCTGACAGTACACATATCTACACACATGGGACGCATTTTTTCGGCTGTATTTTCCCAAGCTTTTGTAAAAGATCTGTCAAAACATTAAACTCCATCAGCCTCTTATTCTCCAGGGTATATTTTGGTTTGTCCATCTGAATTTTCATGACCAAATCGTAAGGCAAATTATTCACTAACTGCATGAAACGAATGTAAAGTTTTATTTTATTTATTTATTTTTTGTAAAAGCTCCCCTCAAATTAACAGAACATGTGTTTTATGATCACACATATTGCTATATGCTTACAACTGACTGCTGAAAGCCAAAATTCTTAGACGCTCTTTGTATTATTTTATAAAAATAATGTTCACAGAGCAGATCACTGAAGAGACGCCATCTGTTTATAGTTTATAGCCCAGATTTGTGGAAAAATGGGTCGACTTTCAGTAGAACAAAAAAAACTGAGTTCAGCTTCTTTTATTATAAGGGTTTAAAATGACATCACCATCTATTTGACTGGAAAGAGGACAGTTACAGCTCTCATACGACCCCCACCTTTAGAATGTAGCTTATGAAATATGAAAGTTATGAAGAATATGACGCAGTGCGTTTTGGAACCACCGGTGGTTCCAAGGAGCATAAGAGGCTACCTTATAATTTAACAACCTGAAAAAAGCCTGATTTGCAATTAACCAACGTTATTAATATCATCTATACTACAAATAATGAGAATGAAAATAGAAAATAACTATAATGCTAATCATGTTTACACCTGGCAACCCAGTTCAAAAGTGGATGTACTTATTTTACATACACACTGGTATAAACAAATGCTGCAACTACTACATGTTTCATACCACTGACTCCGCCCACAAAAAAATTGCCATTCACTACAATAGTACAGGATTTAAATGTCATTTTAGGAAAATAATCACAAAACATAATATCACATCATTCTACCATCTGAAAAAACTAATACGATTTGTTTATTTTACACTTTATTCTTCCCAGTCGTTGTAATTTTAACACTATAAAGTTTGGTCAGTAGGGGGAGCAGTGCACTCAATGCTCCACCTCAAACTCCACCTATGAGAAAAGCCATGGGCTCACAAGCTAATGTCTATGTACCAAAACACCTGCATGATTAAGGGCGTGCTCCATGTAAATGATATGTAAATGAGGTGCTGGCAGGCTGGCGCTTGATTTCACGCACCGAAGCTGACTGCGCTCAAAACTCCACAGCCAGTGACTAAACAGTGGACTCACTCTGAGAGCAGGTGCTGTAGCTGTGAGTGCCCCCTTTTCTGGGCCACCCCGGCGGGCGTATGTCCCTGTTTGTTTTGGTGTCTCAGGGCGTCCCGCCCACCCGGCTGCTGCAGCAGGAACAGCGCCACCCTCCGCAGGCCACGTCGTGCCGCAAAGTGCAGCAGAGTCTCCTGGGGTCCAAGATCTGCTGATATACACATACAAATTCAAACAATGAGACATTAATTATTAAAATCACATTTTCTCAATAATAACAATGCACATTTAACACGTTTGAAAAAAATGATTAAGTTATGACGCTCCATCCTGTATTAACAGAGATTTGGCCTTGGCACCACTGCTACTTTGGCACACTAGGTAGCGCTAGTTACTGTCATATATATATATATATATATATATATATATATATATATATTTTACTCAACAAACACGCTATTCTATTTTAGTAATAAAAGTATTATTCTTATACACATTAACATACAAATAAATGTTATATATTATACCAGATGAAGCTTAAAATCTTAAAAGTACCACATCATTGAAAAAAAATACAATTTTCCTTTGATTTTAATTAAAAAAAAAAAACAAAGTTTGATGTAGTATGTAAACACTGTCAAAGTTTCAATACATCCTGTTCACTCCCCAGTCCATATATTCCACATACGGGAAAAACAGCTTGTTTCGCATTCACTGTTTTTGTGATGTCACAGAAACAAACTCATTAACATACATCTGCCTATTCAGCCTACAGCAGTTTAGCCCCATTTCCACTGAAGTCATTAGGAAAGTTTCAGCTCAGGTTGTTTATTTTAATAAGGCACAATGCAGGGCAGCCAATCAGAAAACATCATTTACTAATCTTAAAGGCACAGGAACAAAAACAGCCTGTTTAATTCTAAGGGATAAAGAGAGGGTAGAAAATGGGCAATTTAGAATATTTTTGATACAAAAAAAAACACAAATGTTAGAAGTTATAAATATTTTCCCATTTAGAAGCAAAAGTTTATTAACATTGCAAATTTGTCTCTTTGGTCACAACACAGCTTACACTCATATTTGCACCTTCATTAAACATACAACACACAGTCTAATCTCATGCATGGATATACCTGGTTTGCTCCACACTGTTATCATCTAATTCAACGCTTTTTGATACGATTTCAAGAACGAAGGAAAACTACGAGTACTTCCACAGCACAACACACAAACTCACTTCTAATATTTATTAATATCTGTTTTATTCAAACTGGTTGAAAATCAATCATGGATACACAAGGTGAGATTCGACAACCCTTACATGGTCTTTTCTGCACATCTGACTTTATCATCAGTTCTGTCGAGGACCCCTGTCAACTGGACATTTTCGCTTGGAGGACTACTTTTGAATTAATTTAATATGTAATGACGACTCTTCAGCCCGGACCTCAGGCACCACCTTAGAATTTAATACCTCTAAAAGTAAAACCGAGACCTTTCAGGCACTTCATGACCTTATAATACATTTTAAGTTCACAGTTAAAGACCTGCAGGAACCCTGACGCACTAAAGTGGAGAGAGAGAGAAATAAATAAATAAATAAATAAATAAATGTGCTTACAGTTACTCCCGTCACTGCTGCTGTTGACGGTTATGCCATTACCGCTGCTCCTATTAGCTACACTACAATCACAGCAGTTTTCCAGATATTAATACGAACAGCATCAGTCCGATCCATTTCCTTTCGTTCGCAGTGTAAGCGCTCTGAACTGTCCTGTGAGAACCATCAGCCGGGCTGAACTCGCAGTGTTTGTTGAGCCAAAGTCTGATAACATCTAGACCCGCCCACTCACTGCCTCAGCCAATCAGCCACAGATGCATCACTTTCTAAAAACAGCAGGCCCAATGAAGGCCACTGAGCATTTAAAAAAAGGGCAGGCGGCCCTTTAAGCAGGGATTCTGGGTAAACCCATGCGAGTGACACAGAGATAAATAATTTACAGCACGGACTCTGAAACTCTGCGATGTTTCCGTCCGAGCAGCAGAAGCCGGGCCTGTTTAAGGGCTTTTTAGAGTAATGAGTGATCACTGGTGGCTGTTTTGTAGAGTGTGAGAGAGCGGGCATTTGAGGCTGGTGGTCAGCGGGGGACGGACAGTGGGGGGATTGTTCTGGGTCGTTAATGAGCGGCTGGGAATGGGAGCGCTCGGTTAAACGGGCCGCTGGGGATTCAGAGACTAATTTGGAAATGCAGCCAAGACAAAAACAAAAAAAGGTGGCTGGTGAAGTGCAGTCCGGCTGGGTGCAGTCAGAGATATACGGAAGAGCAGGTCACGTAGGGGTGCAGAGTTCGGCCGGATTAAAGGGGAATTCCACAGATTTATCAAAATTTTTGCATAATTCAGATGTAAACAAAGTCATTCAGAGTGGTCCGAGGTGAAATGGGTCACTGTAGAGTGACAGAAATACTCTGAGATAGTCAGACTGTGATTAATCCAGGTTTAGACACTCAGACTGTGATTAATCCAAGTTTGGATACTCAGACTGTGATTAATCCACTTTTGGAAACACAGACCGTGTTTAATCCAGGCTTGGATACACAGACCGTGTTTAATCCAGGCTTGGATACACAGACCGTGATTAATCCAGGCTTGGATACACAGACTGTGATTAATCCACGTTTAGATAATTAGGCTGAGATTAATCCAGATTTAGATACTCAGACTGTGATTAACCCAGGTTTAGATGTAGAAAGCAATCTGCAGTTTAAACTGTATCTTCTCAGGTCCCCAAATGAGCATCCAAACATCAGCAAATGACAAATTAGGCAGTTATAATTGTATATAATTCAGTCCCTGTATATCATTTACTGATTGTTATTAGTTAGCCTCTAATGTTACAGCGCTAGAAAGGCAGGGAGGCCCAAAAACCCTGCTAAGGGCCCTTTTAGAGCCGCCCATACCAGCACTAAAGCAGCAAGCTTCAGACGCCAAACATGTCTTGATCAGCTGCTTCAACTCGCTACGTTAACTTGGACGTCGTGCAGTCCTCCAAACCCCAATTAGCTCCGTGACGAGGCCTGTTCATTCAAACACACAGCTAATATAATCAACACTGACTACTTTCCTTCACTCAGCTCTGCATTCTGGAACATTTCTAAAGAGGAATTACTGAAAAAGTCATTCACTGTGAAGGAAACACTCTCACAAAGGCACAATTATAAACACAGAGGGGAGCGTGAAGTCCCTAATGGCCGAAAATGCCAGGCGACGTGGCAGATCACCAGCAGGGCCCAGAGCTGCCATCTAAGCGCTTGGAAACGGACACAAAGTTCAGATGAAACTAAAGCTCAGAGCAGAAGCTGCTAGGATGTTAGGTAGGCCAGACCAAACACTAAGGCACTTGTTTGGTCATTTAAAATGGCTTAGCAGTTGCAGTTATTACCAGAGAGATTAAAGTACGCTGTAATTTTGTTCCGTAACTGCTGCCTGTGTGGGGACTTCACATGCATACGCACTGAACGACGCCTATAAACCAATACTTGAATAGTTATGAACAGCTAATATCAGTAACTGCAAGATCACATTATATATACACGTCACTTTATGAAGTAACTGATACTGTGACATAAGGGGCCTCGAACTAAAATCGAATTAACTAGTACAGATTCTATATATTCCATACAGCATGTACATTATTTGTGACCAACTATAGCATGTCCAAAGTCTGTGGACTCCAGTGTTTCTCCTGAAATGAAGAGTATTAATAGTGGGTTTGTGCTGCAGTAACACCCTCTACTCTTCTGGGAAGGCTCTAGATGTTGAACATTGCTGTGAGGATTTGATCAAGTATTACTGAGGCCAGGTACTGATGTTGGATGGTCAGTTCTGGATCTCCAACTCATCCCAAAGGTATTGGATGGAGCTCCATCACTCCAGAAAACACAGTTCCACTGCTCCACAGCCCAATGCTGGGGGGCTTTATACCCCTCTAGTACACGCTTGGCACTGGCAAGGTGACATTCGGCTCAGCACTCCTTAAATCAGCTGAATTCACTGATTAGAAGGGCTGTCTAGATACTTTTGGACAGTGTAATAAATCAAATTATGCAATTACATTTACAATTAAATCACACAGCAAAACAACCATCATAACTGTAAGCACTGTTAATCAACTTCATGATACTTAATGCCATGTCATTTGCTTTACATCCCACAGGGGGCAGTGCTGGCAGAGGCTGTGGGCAGTGTGCCCATAGACAGATCTGGTTCCAGAGCAGGTCCAGGTGTCCAGAGCCAGCTGCAGGAAAACACCGGCACTCACACACAGCTCAAACACAGCCAGGAACACCACACACTGAGGAATTTCATTTTCCAAAACACTCACATTCTCCAGCACTGGCAGATTTAACTCTAGGGAAGCGTCTCCAGGGCCAGGCTAAAGGGGAATTCCACCCATTTTTCAAAATTTCTGCATAATTCAGTGTGTGAGATGTGAACAGAGAGATTCAGAGTGGTTTGGTGTGAAACGGTTCAGATGTCTTTACAGTGGTGCTGATAGGAACCAGGGGTCGCCATGACTACAACACAAATATAGACATTTTATTTACTATCCAGAACCACCAGTGAACCTACACGAGTCTTCTGAGCTTATATGGAATGTTGATGATGGAAAATAGTGGAAAATCTGAAATAAGAAGTTTTCTTTGGGGACTATTTTGCCTCACAGCGCCCTGCATGCATGTGAGTTTAAGGCCAAAATCTCATTTCATGTAGGAACTTTCTGTGAGGGAGCTTTTAGAGGTGGACGTCTGGTTCCTATCACCACCACTGTGAACAATCCTGACTTGGTAAGTTTCTCTAGCACTGACTTTCTAGTGTGCTGCATTCAGTGAGCTTGGTTTACTGTTAATATGGTTACCAGCTCCTCCACTGATCTAAAGCACATGCGGACTCATGATAGGTCATTATCCAGCCAGTTAAAAAAGAAATACTGTAATTGGAGTCATAAAACATAATGCGGAGCACAAATGCATGACAGCACCACACATTTGGTTAAGAAGGCACAGCAGCGCCTCTACTTCCTGAGGAGACTAAACAAGGAACATGTGTCTCCTCAGATTCTCTCAAACTTCTACTGCTGCACCATCGAAAGCGTACTGACCAACTGTGTGACAGTGTGGCACAGCAGCTCCACTGTGGCCGACAGGAAGGCCCTCCAAAAAATGGGTGAGGACCGCTGAGTGCATCAGAGACATCCACCACCAGCACTGTGTGCATCATCAAGGACTCCTCCCACCCCAGCCACACACTGTTTAACACCCTCCCATCCGGGAGGGGATACAGAAGCATTCGGACCAGAACCAGTCGGCTCAGGTCCAGCTTCTTTCCCTCCACCATCACCCTGCTGAACTCCACACCACTCCACTAATACTCATACTTGTATGCTGCACACAATATTTATTTATTATTTATTATCCCAAACATCTCCATACAACAGACTATTCACTGTATATAGAATACAACATAACAGCTTACTGTAAAAGTAGATAACACAGTTTAACACCAATCAGGCATAACATTATGACCACCTCCTTGTTTCTATGCTCATTGTCCATTTTTGAGAATAGTCCACCAACCAAAAATATCCAGCCACAGCGTCCTGTGGGCAGCGTCTTGTGGCCACAAACTGTGCAGCAGCAGATGAGCTATCGTCTCTGACTGTACATCTACAAGGTGGACCGACAAGGTAGGAGTGTCTAATAGAGTGGACAGTGAGTGGACACAGTGTTTAAAAACTCCAGCAGCACTGCTGTGTCTGATCCACTTGTACCAGCACAACACACACTAACACACCACCATCACATCAGTGTTACTGCAGTGCTGAGAATGATCCACCACCCAAATAGTACCTGCTCTGTGAGGGTCCATGGGGGTCCTGACCACTGAAGAACAGGGTAAAAGGGGGCTAACAAAGTATCAGAGAAACAGATGGACTACAGTCTGTAACTGTAGAACTACAAAGTGCACCTATATAGTAAGTGGAGCTGATAAAATGGACAATGAGCGTAGAAACAAGGAGGTGGTCATAATGTTATGCCTGATCTGTGTATAGTTATATATTTCATAGATACGTCATATTTACGCCAGTTATTGCACATTTGCACCGTCCGTTTTGCACTATTGCTACTATTTACACTTCTGGTAGATGCTAACTGCATTTTGTTGCCTTGCATTTGTACTGAGCAATGACAAAGTTGAATGAATCTATCTATCTAGCTATCTACCTATGACAACAGCATATAAAATGAACTGAATAGGGTTCGCAGATCATGTAGTGCAGATGTTAAAGACGTCATGCAGTACACAATGTGTCTAAAACTGGCAGAATCTACCTCAGCAAGCAGCAGAAGACTGAAAACACAATTTATTTAACAGATTTTCTAGTACAGACAGAGATAAGCTTGTGATCTCCAGAGATAAGAAGAAGAACAGAAGCTGGCATCACAAAAGCACCAACTATTTGTAACATAATATGATACTCAGACTGCAGGGACTGATAATGACTGGCCTTCTGACAAACGAAAGAAAGAGGGAGGACATCAGAGCACAGCGAGGCAGACCTCCCAAACAGAGCCTACATCTTTTTCGAGATTTAGTGACCCCAAAATGGGAACATCTACTGCAAACCTGCAAAAGTCCAAACATTTTACGAAGACTGGATTTCGCTTAAAATAAGAAAAAATAAATAAATCCAGACTAACACACCCAAACACCCATGACCCTCCCAAACACCCCCCACCGCCCGAAGGTCCAGAGGTATTTAAAGTGTGTGTACAAAGCCATCCCAGAGGCACAGTTTAGCTCTTTTACTGCAATCAGCGCCAGAGTTCTGGTGATAGCGTTTTAATCGTTTGTTTGGTTTTGCTGGATCTGATTACCATTTTCATTCCACAGCAAGATTTTTATGTTCTAGGCCACAGCCGGCAGCAGGGACGCTGCTCATGTTTTATTTATGGGAGAACCGGACCGGGACGTCTGGGCACCAACATCGGTACAAGACTACAGCCTTTGGACCAAAAACTTGCAATGAAAAAAAAAAAAAAATGCAAATGTGAAAATATGGCATTGCACTATTTCTGGGATCCATTCTCATCTTTCTTCATGCTGCTTGTCAAAGTCTGGGGGAAATTTTTTCCTGTCCTAAAAAGTTACTTCTTTTGGGAGGATAAGAATCAGTTGTCGGGTCCAGAAATCAGACCACAGCCTGGTCTGAAAAAGGGCCAAATGATTAGCGCCAAAAAGGGCTTTATAAATTGGGTGGGAATGTTTTCTTTTGGAATATCTGACCTGCTGTTCCGGCTGTGTTTCGATGACTCGGCCGACAGAGAGCAAAGTATGAAGCAAGTGGGCAGCACAGTGGCTGATGCTGGGCTGATAGGTGGGGGAGCGAATGAGTATTATGGATCTCAGAATGACTGTGTGGATCATGTGAACATTATAGAGCTTTTTAAATGAAACAGTAGAAGCCATATCGCCCCCTACACTTCCTGTAGTGTATTACAGTCTGTCAGAGTGACTGTGTGGATCATATGAACATTATAGAGGCTTTTTAAATGAAACAGTAGAAGCCATATCGCCCCCTACACTTCCTGTAGTGTATTACAGTCTGTCAGAGTGACTGTGTGGATCATATGAACATTATAGAGGCTTTTTAAATGAAACAGTAGAAGCCATATCGCCCCCTACACTTCCTGTAGTGTATTACAGTCTGTCAGAGTGACTGTGTGGATCGTATGAACATTATAGAGGCTTTTTAAATGAAATAATAGAAGCCATATCGCCCCCTACACTTCCTGTAGTGTATTACAGTCTGTCAGAGTGACTGTGTGGATCATATGAACATTATAAAGGCTTTTTAAATGAAACAGTAGAAGCCATATCGCCCCCTACACTTCCTGTACTGTACTGCAATCTGGAGGTTTGTGTTTATGCAGTACCTGTGTGGGAGTTCGTGTTTATGTCTGTTCCGAGTACGCTCCACCCCGGCGGTAGCGGTATGTGTCTGAGTGCAAGCGCCAGCGTCTCGTCAAGCCGCTCACACTCCTGCAGGGGGATCTGACACTCGTCCAGTAGCAGCGCCCTCTCAAGGCCATCCCGCTGGCCGGACGCGCTCAGCAGGAAGTGGGCCATGTCCAGGGCAAGGTCCTGCACATACTGGAACCGCTCCTCGGCCACAGCATCCACAGAGCCACCCGGCCGAGCCTGGCACAGAGTGACCCGCACCGTCTCCCCGCGGTCATGAGCTACAGAGGAGCAGAAGGAGAGTCAGATTTATTTATACAACACATTCAAAAATCAACACCACCACAATCGACATATAATGCAATGTAAAAAACACAAGAATAAGGTGATTAAACAATAAAAAACAACCATCCCCATTCCTGTACACTGTTAGTAATAAAGGTTCCGTACAGGTACGTTTTTCGTTCATCAAGGTACAAACAGTGTAAATGTTCCCTCAAAGCTCCAACAGTGGTTCTAAGGTCTGATTGTGAACCTTAAATAAGTTTCTCCAGGTGAAAAGTTCGTATTTGTACCTTTTCATAACCGAATGTTTTAAAACAGAACAGTAAAATAAAAGCCTGGAGGCGAGACGGGGTGTGTGGAGTCAGTACAGCTTAGAACATATCATTTCAGTGGATTATGGTTCAGTTATGTTCCCTGACTGAAGGTACTGAGATGGAGCCTTGAGGTTCCCACCCCAGTGACAAGAGGGGGACTGCCCCAATGATGGTTTAGTACCTTTATTTCTGAGAGTGTAGAGCACTGCCTAGCACTTTAAATGCTATTTAGATGATTTATCTATGAATGCTCCTGTTTGCCACGACACGAGAGCCTTAAAATATCCATCTTTCCAACACAAACGACTTCAGTGACATTCCCAACATCAATCACAGCAGAGCTCCCAACAGAACACGCTAACCTACACTGAGTGTAGCTATAACCTCAGTATTAAAGAAATCAATGTTTAAATGAACTCAAACATTGTTATTTTTATTTCTTAATAATCTTAATTTACATATTTTAGAATTAGTTCCATAATGAATTGCATTTACATCAGATTTACATTCACATATGTGCAGATCTGAGTCTGAACTACTGACAGATTTTAAGAAAAATGACAAAAAACAGCAAAAATATAGTCCTTCAAGAGTTCTTTAGTAAAGAAAATGGTTCTATATAGCACCATGAACACTCAAAGAACCGCCTGCATGCTTAAACGGTTCTTCAGATTGATGGAGAATGTGTTGTATCTGATTCTATATAGCACCAAAAAGGGTTCTTCTATTGTTACAATGTCAAGCTTGTAATAAAAGAACTCTTTTCTGTGTTACTTAGAAACCTTTTCTAAAAGATTCTATATAGAACCATATATAACACATTGTCCATCAATCTGAAGAACGATTTCAAAAGGTTCTTTGAGTGTTAGTGCTTCCAAATGGAACCATGTGTCTTTACTAAAAGAACCCTTGAAAAAAAACATTTTTTTAAAGGGCATATTTACAAACACCGATGTGGTATGCACTTCCAAAAAAAGATGGTTCTTCAGTAAAGGCAATTATTTTTAGAACCATAGGTTCTATATGGAACCATTTATGCATAAAAAGTTCTTTGCATGGTGAAATGTTCCTCAGATTGAAGGAGAATGTGTTGTATATGGTTCTGTATATAGCACCAAAATGGGTTCTGCCATTGTATACAAGCTTGACATCATAACAGAAGAAGAATCCTTTTTGGTTCTATACACAGAACCATATACAACACGTTCTCAATCAATCTGAAAAACCATTTCATCATGCAAAGAACCATTTAAGCATGCAAATGGTTCTATATAGAAGAACTATATAGAACAACTGCCCATCCTGTGGGTCTGATGCTGTTGCTCCTTCTGCCTTGATCGGGTGCCACTGCTCACCAGCCTTCTGGACCAGTTTGACCACTATGGAGCTTTACGCTGTACAACGATGTGCAAACGTCACCTGCATGAACAGACCCTCCTGCTGCTGCTGCATAAACTCAGACTATCTAATTAACCATTGCTCTGCCTGTTTTCCCTGTTTTGTATTATAATATTTTATACTAAAGCTGTTTGCTATCCGGTGTCGACCAGAGGAGGATGGGTTCCCCTTTTGAGTCTTGGTTCCTCTAAAGGTTTCTTCCTCTTGCTTTTAGGGAGTTTTTCTTGCCTCTGTCGCCAGTGGCGACACTCATGGGGGCTCAGACTCTGATTTTTCTGTAACGCTGCTTTGTGACAACGCCTGTCATAAAAAGCACTATATAACTGTAACTTGACTTAGGCCCAGTCCCATTTCTTCTTTTTACCCCTACCCCTTGTTTTCGAGTGTCACCCTAACCCCTTTGGAATTGAGATACAAGTTGTAGTGGTTGAAATCTTCCTCTGAAATGAGACCCTCAGATAAAAAGAGCATCACTTCATTAACAGCTACCAGCGCTGCTCTGTAGGCGACCCTGCCAGTCTGCAGTGACAGCAGAGGAGGGTAAAGTTCAGCTCCTCACTGCTGGGCTTTAGTTACATTTAGGGCATCATATGACTTCAAAGAGGGGGGCAATTATTTATTATCACCCACCACTAATTCTTCAGTGATATGAAGCTGAAGTCAGATATTCACCAGCTTCTTGTTTAAATTGTCCCGTTCCACCTTAAATGGTGCAGCAGTTACATTCTGGCGCTTCAGGTGTCAGAACTGCTGGACTATTTAAGGTGGAACGGGAAAGTTAGTTAGCTAGCTACCGAGACATTAGCATACTATTAGTGATTTTTAATGCGTGTTACGATGAAAACGACCTTAATACACTGAAACAACATTAAACTAAGATAATATGATGGTTATTGTAATTTCTAACAGAGAAAATTCTCACATTTGTGGGCTTCTTTGGTCTCTTGTTCTCCATCTTGCTGGTTTTTCTTTTTTCCTTATAACTCTCTGTTTGGAGTCTCTGAAAAACCTCTGTTTGGAGGGTCATGTAGCCCCAACACTTCACCCTCCCCCTCTATCTCAACAGGAATCAGGACACCCTACTCCTAGATGAGAACACACAAAACAGAGGGCTCAGGGCTCAGTGGTAGGGGCGAGGGGTGAAATGGGACTGGGCCTAACTCTTGGTTTTACGAGTCAGAAATTATGCCTCCAAATAACTCCAGGCTTGTCATCGTTAAAGGGTTAAACAGCGTCCTGTTACTCAGATTAGCTCTGCAGTGTGAAGCTGCTTCATAAAGTGAGCCTTTTATACAAAAAAACACAGAAAAACAACGCAGAGCTGACTGCCAGCAGCCCAGACAGATATAATTATCATGAAATGTTCCCGCAAGAACTGCTTTATTTCCACGATTTGGAAACCGAGGGCCTCGTACGAGAGCGAAATGTGCTGAGGGAGAAAAACGCACGCATTAATAATGTTGACTGTCCTGAGAGCGCTGCCAGGAACATCACACCGATCCACACACTGAGCATGTTTTCATACGAACACGCAGCTTCTGCTACTTCAGCAACATATTTCATCTCACAGCAGCATGTTTAAAACCCACATACACCACCAGAACACGCTACAACGCGGGTTCCGTTCAGACCGAGTCGTGTCTGGTGTCTGAAGAGTGCTTCTTTAGTTTTAGCACTGGAGCTATGAGGCTGATTAGCCCACCAAATTATTATTAATATCTCTAATAGACCTGATTATGTGGTTTCTGACTCTGTTTGACTCACTATTACCTATAAACATGGACTAAAGTTCATTAGCATAGCTTAAAACAGTAGGAGCCTCAATTTTAACCATAACTTAGTCCATGTTTATAGGTAACAGTGAGTCATACAGTGTCAGACATAATCAGGTCTGTTAGAGATACCGAACAACTTCAAACGCTTTGAAGTGAGCATGTGATGATTTAGGCATGCAGTTAGCACCATGCAAACTGGTGGGGTACTTGTTAGCTAAAATTAGCCTCATAGCTCCAGGGCTTAAACTATAGAAGCAAACTTCAGGCACCAAACATGTCTTGGCTGATTAAAAAACACTAGTAGTCCTTGTTTTAATCATGTTTTAAATTTCTACTCTCGCTTATTTTTTATTTTTTTAAACAACTCTATTTTCTGACTATTTTCTCATTTGTAAAGCACTTTGAATGACAGGTACTGTATGAAAGGTGCTCTACAAATAAACTTGCCTTGCCTACATTTAAGAAATGGGGGGATTTGGGTGAGTTTTTGGGGTTGGGACAATTAAAAAAAAAAAAGTGAAAATATGTGCAAAAATGCTCAATAAATACAGATTCTTTTCTATCATTTAAAGCCAACAGGTATTCTGCAGGTAGGACAGTTCAAATGTTGCCAGAGGGGCAAAAAATCCAAAGCCTTTATGGCTCGTTCTCCATTTGGAGGGGAAACCGTGTCACAAAGGCTGCAGGGCTTAAAAAGACGCTTAAAATATTAGACACAGCTCCAAAAGCCTGTATGTACATTTGCAGAGTTGACCTAAGATCAAATAACACTTTTCCCTTATGATTCTTTGATTTTTCTTTTTTATCCTGGTTCATAGTCGCATATATAAAACTCGTCACAAAACCTTTCAACAATTTTTAATATAAAACAATATTTTTAAGAGGTTCAACTTAGGAATTTGTATAAAACAGATTCATGTTTACTTTTTATATCATTAACGTTATACTACATTTAAAAAATATGTATTTTATAAATTCATTTGTCACAGATTGTGGTCACTGGTGTTTTCAGGACTCTTATGTTACATCTTAACTCAGTATTTTCAGCTCTATTAAGCTGCTTCTTTGGGTCGAGGCTCATCAGACAGGAAGCAGCTCAAGGCATGAGAAGGCGAGTCACACTCACTATATTTGAACCTCCACACTGCCTGCAACTGTTTTACCTGATTTTCCTGAACTTTTAATATGAATTTTGGTGTTTTAGCTATTGTTTTACTTTTATTTTTGTACTTTTTATTTCTTTACTTTTTATCATTCCTTTTATTCTTTATTTCTTTTATTAGTATTCTTTTTATTTTATTATTGTCAATTCTTATTTCATTAATTTACGTTTTATTTGTTTTGTCCTTATCTGATCTGTTACTTGATACTTGATAAGTTATTATTGTAAGTGTAATGGTTTACTGATTTAACGGTTTATTGGTAACTTCTTATTATTACATTTTTCTATTATGATTTTTATTATTTCATCATAACATTTGATTATTTTTTTACTGTACAACTTCTCAATCCCAGATTCCTGTCTTACTCAGCTATATTGTAAATGGGGGTCTCCCTCAATGTATTCAGAGTTTAAATAAAGGTTGATTGATTATTATAAATAGATAAGTGGTCCTGGGCCTAATATTTATTTTTCAAACAACTCCTTTAAAATGCAGTTAGATTAACATTTTAACATCTTACGCGTTGAAACTGAGAGAAGAGCCTTAATCCGCTTCTGTACTGCACCACCGAAAAACTCCGTCACCCAGCAGGGCTTCGACTAGACAACACAGCTGGACCAGACGCCACCTGATTTAACTAATCTACTGTCAGACTCTCTTTGAGATGAATCGTTATTAAAGCTGACTGAATACAGACACTGTTTCGCATCGTGACTGATCACTGAGGACAGAGAGTGACCACACAAACCTAGAGGCTCATGTAGCCAACGAGGACTGGAACAGACTTAGACCTGGGACTAAATCACTCGTCTCAAAAGAGTTCAGTGTCTCTAATAGACATGATTATGTGGTTTCTGACTCTGTATGACTCACGGTGATCTATAAACATGGACTACAGTACATTAGCACAGCTAAACACAGAAGCAGCCGTCATTAAGTCATTATTATATCTCAGGTTTACATGGAGGGGATCCTCATTTTCAAAGTAGCCGAGCAGAATAAAAAGCAACAAAACGATCCTCATGGTTTAGAAAGTAGATTTAAGACAATAAAACAACAGAGCAGCTTGTACACAAGAAACACAAGAAAACAAACAATAAGAAGACAATCAAACGAAACGTAAAACCAATTCAGCTGTTTGGAAACACTGTTTTCAAGGAGTCCGACGAGGAACAACAACAACTACCGTACTGGACTTGTTTTACAGTGGTGTCCGTATGGGAGGCAAATCCAGCCAAAAAAGAAATGAAAATGAAAACAATAAAAATGTAAATGCAAACCTCGTTTTGCCATTTCTTTTTCCAAACATCTGCGCAAATATCCTGCCAAAATTGAAAATGAAATGAAATACCTATATTTCAATTTCATTTTTCACATGAGCACGAGTCATTTGTGACAAAAATAAAAATAAATGTAAAACAGCTGTTTTTCATTTCATTTTAGTCGTTATTCTGGTTTTTCATGGCTGTATCTAAAATGGAAAAGCTAACAGAGAAAAGAAAATCCAGGCTTCACTTTGGCTTTTCTCCATGAAATGCAGAATACGAGTCAAAACTGAAATCAGAATGCAGTGTTTATGTTTACGTTCTTATTTCTTATTCACAGCGACCGGCTGCAGATCTGACAAAATGAAAATGCAAAACTGATAAATCAACAGCAAAGTGACGGTTTGTGATTCGGTTTTCGGCGCGGACACGCTTTAGGTGTCAGAATGAAAAGGCAAATGCAAACGAACGTCAGCGCCACCTGCTGGACTTTTACTTTACATTTTCCACTTTTCGATTTAGTTTTCAAACTGACCAACATGCAAATATATGTTAATTAGCACTAGGCGGGGCTACGGGGTTCATTTTAGGACATCCTTAGACCTCCGAGTCAGAACGGCATCATTCCTCAAGCTAAATGACTGAGTCTCGATAAACCATTGTCATGACTCAGATCTGGTGAAACTGAACGTCAGCACAAACACCGCCAGAAAAAACTGGAAATGTTATACTGGCATTTATATCGAGATACATAATAGTTTTCTAAGTTATATGAACCAGTCTGTGCTCGACCAGGCCTGCGTTTGGTCTGAGGCCGTTTGGTCGGACGGTGTTTGTGCTGACGTTCAGTTTCACCAGATCTGAGTCATCACGATGGTTTTTCTCGAGACTCAAAGTCGTTCAAACCAGTTCAAATTTTGCCAGAGGGGCAAAAAATCCAAAGCCTTTTTGGCTCATTCTCCATTTGGAGGGGAAACCATGTCACAAAGGGCTGCAGGGCTTAAAACGATGCTTAAAATATCAGACACACTGAGGAACTTGTATAAAACAGATTCATCTTTACTTTTTACTTCATTAACATTATACTACATTTAAAAAACATATTTTATTGTATTTTTCCCTGCGAGTGTGTAACTGTGGGCGTGCCACAAAACTACACATCAACAATATGACTGGACGCCACTCAACTCATTCGTCCAGAAGGAGAGATAGCAGAGAAATCAGAGTGTGTATCAGTGGCACATTATAATACATTCTGTTTGATGAAAATGATCAAAAAATTCCAAATGAAAAAAGGCTAAATATTTTATATAAGTATAGAGCACTTAAAATTTCAGCTTAAAATACCTTCTGTCATCAGTTACTACACAGCTATTACCTATCAACAGCTAGGAATCAGCTAACCAGCCAACACAGCCACTTTAGGCTGGAACTTCAGCTGCAGACAAGCAAGAAAACCAGACGATTATACTGTAAACTGCTATTATTTGCATGCCAGTTGATCTTCACAGGCCTAGCTCCCTTTTTTGCAGTGGATTTTGCTGCAATCCAGCACCAAAAGTCGCCCCAGACATGCATTTTCTTTTCCATCTCACCTGTAGCCCAGCGAGTCCACTACAGGTGTGTTACTCACCTGGACACACAGCCTGCAGTGTAACATGGCTGACCCTCAGCGTGGTGGTCAGGTGTCTCTGGGTGGTTCCAGCGAACAGCAGGTAAAACTCCACATCTTCCTCGTCCTCCACGTACTCCTCCTCACTCAGCTGGACTGTCAACACACACTCACCCTGCAGGACAGAGCAGGACACAAACGTGCCTCTTTAGAACTCGTCACAACGAGAGAACAACTTTCACTGCGGCTTTTAATGTTTTACCCAACATGAAACTCCAAGAAAGAGTTGAGATGAGTTTTTCCAGAAACAGCAAAAAAATTAATAGGTATTGTGCAAAAGTCAGAGACCCCCCTTCATTTATTTAACTTCCAATCAAAACAGCAGAAGATTTGTTTAATATTTTTTGGGAGACTTGCATTGTTTTTAAAAATCAGTCTTAGAAGTTGGTTTCATTTTCCAGTTCAAGTACTTGAGTTCTTTTCAGGAGACTCACTTTCAGTTCCTCAAAGAATCTGCAGACACACCTCCAAAGTTCAGTCTTAGAAGCTGGTTGATCATTTTCTGAAGTAATCAAACACATTCAGTGGTGTTGAGGTCTGGGCTCTGGGGTGGTCAGTCCATTGTTCAGCTTCTTTGTTTGGTGTGTCCGTCTCCTTTTCTCAGTGAGGTTCTTCTTGATCAGCTACACATCCTTTCAGACCCACAGCGCTGAGTCGTCTTCTCACAGTGGAAGGATGGACAGAAACACCTGTGGATGTTTTCAGATCTGAAGCAGCTTGATTTTCTCCTCTCTCTCAGAGATGAAAGCTTTAAGTGCTGTTTATCTGATGGGGGCAGTTTTGGTGTCCACCAGCTCTTCCAGGTGGTTGTTAGGAGCCCCATTTTCTCCTTTTTAAATCATTTTTGAAAAGTCCTGTTTTTTCCACTTAATTTTCTTGGATCTTGTATCTGATCTCCTCAAAAATATCATAAACCCTGAACAGCTTGTACTTAATGGCTGTTTTGACTGGAAATTAAATAAATAAAAAGTGTTCTCTGACTTTTGCCCAATACTGTATCCATATAGTCAAAATCTGGACCTTGATTAAAATGTATATACTTCATAATCTGAAAGAAAATGATTGGATGATTAGGATTAAATGCTTGAAAACAAACAACTTTCAAGTTGAAGCCTATGCATGAATTTATTTACAAAACAAGACCAGGTAGGACTGAAGAATCTATAATAAAAGACAGTTTGGATTAGTTTAACACCTTTTTGCTCGATATATATATTTCCATATGTGTTTTGTGGTTTGATGTCTTCACTTATTCTAAAATGTGGAAAGCAGTAAAAACAAGGAGAACATTCTATGAGACGTGTCCAAACTTCTGACCTGTTTCTCCTGCTATTAGACAGATATATTTAGCAGAGTATTTACAGGCTGAGACTGACTCCACTTACCGTGCTTAAAAAAAACAAAAACAAAAACAAAAATAAACAAAGGGACCCTCAAAAGGTCTTTCTGTAAAGAAAATGACACCATCAACAATAAACAAACAATAAATAACAAAACAATCAACACCTGGACATAAAGAGACATCATAGAGTGGCTAACACACACTAACAGCAGCCCCCCCACACATGCAGACTCTGGATAAACAGTCATTACTCCTCCCCCCCAGTACCCCCCCCCGTCCCCGCCCCCTTTTAATTACAGGGTTAGCTCTGTGTTTCAGCACTGATTGTGTTTGTGTGCAGACTCTAACTGACCCTCCCCTCAGTGTGGATAAGTAACACACTCAGTAATTTTCCAAACTAAACATCCATGATGCGTCTGCGAGTGTCGTCTCTGTTCCTGAATGTGTGTTACGTAACGAGGGGTGTGAAGAAAAAACTATTTAAATCAGAAAAGCAGTCCATGACCAGGATGCACTCGATTTACCGCTACGCCTGAGCTAGGCTAGTTTCCTACTGCGCCTGCCAATCAAGTTGGATGATGTCAATGTCCTGTTCGCAACTTTAAGAAGCACAAAAGTAAATATTTGTCTCAAAATCTGTTTTCTTTTAAAGTGTAACGTTAGTCCTGAATCCGTCCTTATATGATGTCCGGCTTTAAAACACTGTGGTGCAGCGCGAGGTGGATATTCTATGCTCTTTCTACCAAACTACACCAAGAACTACCATGCCAAAACTACCAAACCTTCCAAATCACCCAAGAACTACCATCCCAAAACCGTCCAAAGCGTACCAAAAAGTACACTCCCAAAACCTACCAAACCACACCAAGAACTACCATCCCAAAACCACCTCAGAAACTACCAAACCTTCTAAATCACCCAAGAACTACCATTCCAAAACTACCAAACCATTCAAAAAACTTCCAAAGCATACCAAATAGTACACTCCCACAACCTACCAAACCACACCAGAAACAACTAGTTCAAAGCTACCAAATCATCCCAAAAATTGGCAAAGCATACAATAAACTACAATTCCATAAACTACCAAACCACCCCAAAAACTGGCAAGTTAAAAACCCAAGCCATACTAAGAACTATCAAACCAAAACCAACCAATCCATAACAAGGACAAGCAAACCACACCAAGAACTACCAAAGCATATTTGTTCTCAAGTTTCTGACCAGAAAGAACGTTCATTTTCTGCAGTGTTACCGAAGAGCCCTGCTGAAACCTGGAGTCTGGAGTACTGAGAGAGGTGCTGTGGATATCGATTAAGAGGATCCTGCTTTGTAAGCTGCTAGTTTAGCTGTTTGGCTAAGCAGCGCTACCCACTGCAGTAGTAAGAGACCTTCTTTACCTCCAATCTGCAAATGAGCTTTCATTCATGCAGACACTCATCATTTCACTGGCCTGGAATGTGAGGGATTTTGGGTAACAGTGATTCTCCCAAATATGTATAAATGACCATCTCACACCTCCACACTGAGAACCACTGATTTATAACACCGTGAGCTTTTGGGGACGTTGGTTATTTGAGGACAGATAAATGGTGTTTACTGCAGTTTTATCATCTTTATCATCATCAGACACCAGAGATATAAACACAGACAGCACAGAGTCTGAATGAGGAGAGATCGGACCAGACACACCAAGACTTCCTCACAGGGCTGCTCTTTACGCAGGTGTCCACATCTAAACACAACCAAAAACACACAATGTAGGAGTCTCTCAATTCAACAGATGAATGACGGCCTTCCTCATAAACCTCCTTAAAGCGAGGAAACATGACCCGATCTACATCACGGTGTGTATCCGGATCAGAGACGGCATGAGTTCACTTTTCGATGCCTCTAATGTTCCTTGTACAAAATGAAGTAGGGCAATATTTTCACCAATGATTTGCTACTTAAACTGTTTGAAAGTATCTGCTGACCAGCGCAGGAGAACAAATAAACAGCATTTTAATTGCCTTTTTTATTACTGCAAAAAATTATTTGTAAAGACTTAGATTCAGACGGTTCAATTAAAGCCCATGTAATATTTGTTTCCTTGAACAAAATTTTTGTCTGTTTTTCTCTTTCAGTCGGAAACTGAAAGTACCTTTTATGACCGTCCCAAAAATTGCCAAACCATGCCTAAATCTACCAAATTAAAACTACCAAACCTCCCAAGAAACTATCAAAACCTACCAAACCACACAATGAATGGCCATCCCAAAAAACTTCCAAACCACACTGAAAACTACCAAACCACATTACGTACTACCACACCACACCAAGACCCACCAAACCATCCTCAAATCTTCCCATCAATCCCAAAACCTACCAAATCATACAAATAACTACTATGTCAAAGCTTACCAAACCATCTGAAAACCTATAAATCACACTAAGAACTGCCAAAATATACAAAGAACTACCATCCCAAAGCCTACCAAACCATAGCAAAGACTACCATCCCAAAGCCTACCAAACCATAGCAAGAACTACCATCCCAAAACCAACCAAAACCATCCCAAACCCTATCAAATCATACAAAAAAAAACTACCATCCCCTAAACCTCACAAACCATCCCAAACCCTACCAAATCACACCAAGAACTACCATCCCAAAACCAACCAAAACCATCCCAAACCCTATCAAATCATACAAAAAAAAACTACCATCCCCTAAACCTCACAAACCATCCCAAACCCTACCAAATCACACCAAGAACTACCATCCCAAAACCTACCAAACTAGCCAAAAACCTACTAACCCATCCTAAAACCTAGCAGACCATACCAAGAACTGATAATTTTGGTGCATCCACATTATCCAATGTCAGATCAATGCTCTCTCTAATCTTAATCACTTTATTTGGATTAGAGACAAAAAACGGAAAAATCCTTAAAGGGGCCTCAAAGGAGGATCCTAAATCTGCTGCACACCCCATAATCCTCCTGTTGTCCATACCCTGGGTCAAAATTGGGTACATGCTAAATGTAGACTCTTAAGCATTTGTGCACCAGAACCTATTTAGTAGAGAAACACAGAACAGTTTGGGTCAAAAACCAATAGCAATGAAAACTACTAACAGTGGCTACAAAGACATCCTGAAAGAGGAGACTTCTCAATTGTTCTGCTTTTAATTGTTTTTTTTTCTGATTACATTCCAAAAGTACAAATAAATGTAAACCCACACGTTTATGCAAATTAGCAGCCAAAATGTTTGCTGCAGTTTCAGAGCATCGCTGCTATTTATTGGAAGCAGACTTGGCTTCCCACTGATGCGTGCAACAGGAGGAGGCAGGGCTTTCAAAATACAGACCAAATGACCAACAGAAACAGCTGGCTGCACTAAAAATCTAAGGTCATCTGAGGACACGTCAGATAACTCACTGGGCTATATCAGAGTCTGTCTCAGCACGCTGACGAGGTCTGAACACAGAAAGCAACGTGCAGCGCCTCAATAAGCTCCTGCTGAAGATAGCCTGCATGCTCGTGGAGCTACAGGACACTTTTAGACCGCAGCAGCCCGATACGGAGAGCAGGTGCTGGAGGAGGTCAAAAACATAAACACAGCATAAAGACAGCCATGAGACAGACCACCCAGCAGGAGGAGCATTCAATAAGACATACAGCTCACTGTAACATAACATACTGTAGCTCATCTCGGGGAAAAACTACAATTCCCACAATCCAATATGAACACAGCTGCCTCACAATCATACTAAAATACAGTAAGCTGAGCTCATTTGAGTCAAATGTGTAAGCATATTCATTTAAACAGCACACAATTTTGTCTTTCAGTTTACATATCTTGGGCAATGAGTCTTTAAATGTAATGTGCTTTATGGTAAATCAATGTACACGTTAACGTTCAATGCATTTTTGTGAGAAAATAAGATTTTCCCCCATATTTGGCTCTTAAATTGTTTCTCAGTCACACATCCATTCCTGCCGGCTGTCTCACGCTACTGTTTATAGATGCAGAGTCTCTGTCCACTTTATTAGAAATACCTCCTTTGTGCTTCCTCTCACTGGCCACTTTATTAGAAACACCCTTGTACTTCCTCTCACTGGCCACTTTATTAGAAACACCTCCTTTGTGCTTCCACTCACTGGCCACTTTATTAGAAACACCCACCCTGCCCTTCCTTTCACTGGCCACTTTATTAGAAACATTTCCCTTGCGCCTCTACTCACTGGCCACTTTATTAGAAACACCCACCCTGCCCTTCCTCTCACTGGCCACTTTATTAGAAACTACTACCTTGCACTTCCTCTCATTGGCCACTTTATTAGAAACATCCACATTTTACTCGCATTTCCTCTCTCTGGCCACTTTATTAGAAACACCTCCCTTGGGCTTCAACCAACTGGCCACTTTATTAGAAACACATACCTTGCACTTCCATTCACTGGCCACTTTATTAGAAACATCCACATTTTACATGCACTTCCTCTCTCTGGCCACTTTATTAGAAACACCCCCCTTGGGCTTCAACCAACTGGCCACTTTATTAGAAACACATACCTTGGACTTCCACTCACTGGCCACTTTATTAGAAACACCCACATTCTACTTGCATGTCCTCTCTCTCTGGCCACTTTATTAGAAACACCTTCCTTGGGCTTCAACCAACTGGCCACTTTATTAGAAACACATACCTTGCACTTCCTCTCACTGGCCACAATTTGACCTTCCTGGGTCACAAAACCATTCAAAATGCATCCATCAGTGATGATCCACCAAATAATTATGTTCACAGTAACTGTCCTCTGAAATGTCAACTGAGCCCAAAGAGCAGCAACGCCTCATTAATGAGTTCGGAAAACACTGACTTTTTTTCATTTTAAACGATTCTGCACACCATCTAATTAATTTCAAGCAACAAAACAGGGAGGACACAACAAACACAGAGCAAAGTTTCATAATGTGGCTCAACACGCCCACACAAACGCCCCACATCCGCCTCTCACAGCTGCAGGAATAAATCAACCCGCCAGCACTGCTGCATTTTTAATTAGCACTCAGATAACGACGACGTGATGAGCGCTGCTTACACCTGCTAATGCAGGAACACCGAGACTTCCTCTAACCAGAAACAAAACCACATTCTACCATTCTGAGAGAGAGAGAGAGAGAGAGAGAGAGAGAGAGAGAGAGAGAGAGAGAGAGAGAGAGAGAGAGACTGTGTGGGTTTTCTGTTCGTATTGTTTTTCCACTGATCTTTTTAGACTGTAAGTCATGTATGCTCAGTGAATGTTATCAGTCCAACCACCTGCAACGTGCACATGCAAAGCAGCACACGCGTACATGCACACACACACACGCACGCACGCGCGACACACACACACACACACACGCACACACATTTATCAAGACCTACATCATAGTGAACCTCTAACATAGTTCTAACCCTAAACAAACATTTAACCTAAAGTTTACACCTAACTAACAATAACAAAACACAAACAAAACTGGATTTTGACTCAAACCACTCCGACACAGACAATCCAGTAACTTCCCACCAGCACACACAGCTTTATCACGTTTCTCTGTAGCCTGTAGTCTTGAAGCACTAACACCCAGCATCATGAAGCACACTGCAGCTTTTCAGCAGTATTTGGCTTCAGCTCCAATTCTGTGATGGAACACTTGACTCTTCTACTACTCTTTAAATTCTTAACTTGCTTCCCTCAACTTCAGACTCTCCTCCCAAGGACTTTTACCCCCGACCCCAGACTCTCTTCCTCAGTCTCCACCTATGACTCCATCCTTTTCTCCCCAAGACTGCCCCCGACTCCTGACTCTCTGCCCCTGATTCCAGACTCAGATGCCCCTCAGACTTCCTCCAACCCGATTCTCTGCCCCTACTCTAGCCTCTCAGGCTCTCAGGCACACAGACTCTCAGGCCCCCCACTCCAGACACTCAGCCCTTTAGCAGCCTGACTCTCAGGCCCTCAGGCCCCCAGATTTTCTCCGCCCTGACTCTCTACCTCAACTCCAGACTCTCAGGCTCCCTGACTCTCAGCCCCTTAGCAGCAGCCTGACTCAGCCACTCAGGCCCCCAGACTTGCTCCCTCCAGACTCTCAGATCCTCAGGTCCCCAGGCCTCCCGACCCCCCACTCCAGAGTCTCTGACCCAACTCCAGACTCTCAGCAGCCTGACTCTCAGCCCCCAGACTCTAGATTCTAAGACACCCCAGACTCCAGACTTGCAGTCCCCCCCCAGTCTCCAGACTTGCAGTCCCCCCCCCAGACTCCAGACTTGCAGTCACACCCCCCCCAGATTCCAGACTTGCAGTCACCCCCCCAGATTCCAGACTTTCAGCCCCCCTCCCCAGACTCCAGACTTTCAGCCCCCCCCAGACTCCAGACTTTCAGCCCCCCCCCCAGACTCCAGACTTTCAGACCCCCCCCAGACTCCAGACTTTCAGACCCCCCTATTCTCAACTCACAACCTCAGACTCTCTCCCTCAATCTCTACCCACAGCTTTCTGCCCCAAACTATCAGCCTTCAACTCCAGACTCCTCCCTTCATTCTTGACTCTTTTTCCTATGACATCAGACTTTGCCCTTGACACCCAGTTTCTCAGCGACTGCACACCACCCACGGCAGCACATCAGCATGAAAACATGGCATGCATGTGTAAGTCACATGACCTAGTCCACTTTACACTGGTCAGCTGCATCACAGAAGCCGGCTTTGTGCATAATCTCATAGCAGTGCTGTTGTGTCTTGGGTTCAGCATCCCTTCCCACACTGTGCGCCCTGAGCACCTTACTAATCTAATTAAAAACTGCCTGACGTGCAACAAAACAGTAATATGGAATTACCCAGCCCACTGGTCACTCCCACCCTACACACAAATCACACACGTCCTCGCCCTTCATGCATGCAGCTGAACCACCAGAGCGTGGACTAATAACACTCCTCCCTAAAGACCATTCCTGCAACAGCCCAAACAAATGTCTTATGCAGAACAACCTCATTGTTGTTAAAGAGCTGAACTCCACTCTGAAAGAATGACAGCAAAAGAAATATATATACTTACATATAAGGGAGCTTGCTGCGGATTGAGTTTCATGGCATCGGCCACTGTAGAAAGAAGAAAATGCACAATGTCAGCCATATGAAATTGCTCTGAGACTCCAAATGTATTTGTACTGCACTCTTATCATGATGTAACCTCAAACCAGTGCAGGAGGACACAGAGAGCAAGAACAACTCAGAGATCAAAGCAAGTTTAAAAGAGTTTCAAAGAGTTTCAGCGTATAGCGATTGGTAATGTTAGGAAAACATTTCAAAGCAGTGGTGCAGTGATGGATTGGTGGGCCTATTGTGCCTTCTTAGGAACTCCTACAGCAACACGATGGATGGATAGATAGATAGATAGATAGAACGTTATTGATCCTGAAGGGGAAATGCAGTGTTACAGCAGAAACACACACACACACACACACACACACACACACAACACATATATACACATACATATATATATATATCATATATATATATATATATATAGAAAATATACATATATACATACACACATACACATACGTACATACATACATACACACATAACTGCACATAAACTTATTAATTAATTAAATATATTAGGCAGAAATAAAATAGGAGTGAAAAAAAAAACCACAAATTAGGCAGAAATAGAAAAATAGACACATACTAAAGTAAACTATAAAAGAATAGGAATAAAAGTATATCTGTTGTATCTTTACAAAGCATATAAGACAGATTTGTTGTATTTACGTGAGAGCAGGTGTTGCACTAAGTGCTATGAGGTGGTTACAACACAATGAATAAAAGCATAACTATGAACATCAGCAGTGTTTACAGTCTGAAGTGCATAGTGAACGTTATTACAGTAGCAGGTTATGATATATTGCACAGCATGTATTAACAGGAGAGGTGATAGAATACGTCCACGTAAACACTTCAGTCGGAATAGTTAGTCCGACTGAGGCCATTCAGAATACAGTTTCTATCCGACTGATCGAGGTGGGTAATTCTATAAATAATCAGTTAAATAGAAGAATAATATCCATGTAAACGCCTGTATCTGATTACATTCCCTATCTGAAAGTTTAAGTCCGTTCTGATCATATTCGTCGCGTCAGAGTGAAAGTTTATACCGCTCAACATGGCGGAGCAGAAACTGGTCTGCAGAGGAGACGAAGTTTATGCTCTGATCTTTAAAAGACGGCGGTGGGACGGACGTCCAGCTTATGTGTCTCAGAACACGACGTCTTCCTCTCGGCCTTCTTTAATAAGGACATGTGAAGGACGTTTTCCTGAGTCTGACATCATTTTAAAGCTGTTAAAAACACAAGCACTGCTCACTGCTGCTCATCTCACTCTGACTGGACTCACGTGATGCTGGTTGTCAAGGTAACGTCTACACTAAATGGTTCTCTACATATGTGCATAATTTTGGATCGGATTACCTGTTGTTTGAATATAAAGAGTTTTTTTTATTAGATTGTTGAGTGGAGTGAGCATAAACACTTCAGTCTTATTCTATAATCAGAATGTATTCAATCAGATTGGCAAAAATCTTTGCATGTAAACACAGCCAGTGTGAATGAACAACTAAAAGAAGCTAAAGGGGCTAAATATCTTACAAACACAGTATAAAGTATAAACACAGTTTCTATTAGAGCTGTATGATTTGGGGAAAATGTATAATTGCGATTTTTCTCACTGACACTGCAATTGTGATTTAAATGCAATTACTTTCTATAAATTAATTTCCAGGCCTGTTTTTTGGCCAAGAAGACCAGAATATCCACTTTTTCTGGCATAAAGCTTTGACAGTGAGCGCGTCAGACTAGTTAGTTGTGATGGTTGTGATGTCACATATACACAACATGGGTGATCAGCTGCTTCTGACTGGGCATCTCAACTCCTCTACAGGCAGTTCTCAACATCTGTGTCATTAGGTTAAATTTTCTCTATTGAAAACATAAAACAACACTGTTGGCAATTAATTCTATAAGAAAATTTGCACTCTTTCAAACTGAGATTAATAAAAAACACAATCTTCTAGCCTTAGTTACTGTAAGCCTGTATGTCATGGAAATAACATTTGCTTTAACATATCAAGTGTGAAATATGAAAACTCGTCAAAAGAGGTAAATGATGAGAGAATAAAAACACCTACCTACCACTACACTAGTGGCTAAAGGGTCAAATACCTAAAAAAAACAGTCTGTATTACCTTTTAAAAGAAAGAAAAGTCAGATTCCGCTGAGAACAGCACATCCAGCTCATGCTGCCTCACACGTAGTGGACCATGTGCACAAAGTTAAGGCCTCAGCATAATTTTTGCGGATACGATGTTTGTCTGGCTTCAGCGAACAATATGACATACGCATGGAGAAAACGGACAACCGTGGACGGCGGTATGTCGCGCACATAAGGGCTGCGGACAAAAACACCACACGACAAAGCCTGTGATTGGTCAGTACAAAAGAGGCGTGGCATGAACAGGATGGACAACAAAGGAGTGGCTCTCAAAGCAGGTACGAAGGTATCAACACCTTTACGATTCATCACTGAGATTACATGGACACTCATCTCTCAGGAGAGATCCAAATGTTGGCCGTCATAAGTGGAAAAACCTCCATGACAAATTTGATAGAACTATTTTCTGGTAGTTATGGAATTTGTAAAGTGTCATAGCGCCTCCTGCAGTATTGGAGTGCATGCGACTGGGAAACAAAACCACAGAAAGATTTCGGCCTTGTGCAACCCTCGTGAACTTCGTTTCGCAAGAGGTACGCTGAGTGCTCTAGCCTGGAGTGAACAGAACTGTTGCCCCAAAACCCAACATGTGGGATTTAATATCTTCTACCAAAGCCATCTGGCCACTCCAGTGAACTCCATGACCAAACTGTAACGAAACCAAATGTCACTGTGTGAGTTCATCGAAACCAGCGACCACAGAACGTGAAGTGAGCTGTTCACACAAAACAGCCAACAGTCATCCTAATACAGCCGCGCACACAGACAACTGACCCAATGACGTCACGGCCGTGTGAAGGTGCCAGTCTCTGGAATGTCACAGTGAGCTGCCAAGCATGGTGCCCACTTGTTAGTGGGCACAGCACCTCAGCCGACTAGGAGAAACGGCCGAGCCCACAGAAAACAGCCTGGCCAAAAATGTTCACCCAAAAACATTGAGAGAACCTCAGGAATCAGCACATCCACACAAAAACAAATAAACAGTGGGAGCACTCGTTTCTCAGCAGGTGGTTAAATTAGCTGAGTGAGAGAGAGCAAGAGAGAGAGAGAGAGAGAGAGAGAGAGAGAGAGAGAGAGAGAGAGAGAGAGAGCAAAGGAGAGCGAGAGCGAGAGAGAGGGAAAGTGAGTGAGAGAGAGAGCGAGAGCAAGAGAGAAAGAGAGCGAGCGAGAGAGAGGGAAAGCGAGTGAGAGAGAGAGCAAGAGAGAGCGAGAGAGAGAGAGAGAGCGAGAAAGAGAGCGAGCGAGAGAGAGGGAAAGCGAGTGAGAGAGAGAGCAAGAGAGAGCGAGAGAGCGAGAGAGAGAGCGAGCGAGCGAGAGCAAGAGAGAGAGAGAGAGCGCGAGAGCGAGAGCGAGAGAGCGCAAGTGAGTGAGCGAGAGAGCGAGAGAGAGAGAGCGAGAGAGAGGGAAAGCGAGTGAGAGAGGGAAAGCGAGAGAGAGAGCGAGCGAGAGAGAGGGAAAGCGAGAGAGCTGTACTTTCTCCTTCACTGCAAAAAAATTAAATTTAATTAAAGATTAACAAGACGATTTACCAAAAAAAATTAAAAACGTTCTTCCAAATCTTGAATTTGTATCTGAAAAATGACCAGTTTTCTGAGGTGAAGGGAACACAGCATCTCTGACTGCAAAATATTTGGCAACATGTCACCGTCTGAGGGACAGCGAGTAACACGCTCCACATCCTGACCCCACAGACCAGCCACCAGACCTCTCACTGTAAATAAGCTAAATATATTATCCATCATTTTTATTATTTAACACCTGTTGTCTTATTTATTTAATCTATTTCTTTTTGATTATTGTTATTTCACTATGATTCATTAATTCTATAACAGCTATTAATTCTGTAAAGAATGTTTAGACGTTTATGTGCTTTGGCAACGTTACACTTAAAAGGTGCCTAAGAGTTTGAAAGAGGAGAGTTCAGTACCTGAAACTGACACACTGAACCCCCAACACCGCCGTCTCCTCCTTCAGACGCCAACTACTCTCCACCTTACGTTACCCTGCATAAGCTAGTAATCCATGTCCTCGTGCACTTCACAACCACCATAATACCATAGAAGAACCTTGTCCATCCCGGTTCCATCAGCCCAGCCTTAAACCTCAACACTGATCACAAAAACCTACAAACAGAATCCGGCCTTCAGGATCAATTCGCTGTTTTACTGGATCTGCAGGACGTCAGGACGGACCTGAGCTGAGAACATGGACAGCTACAAACACAAATGTCTGATTCACAGGCCTGAGAGAGAGAGAGAGTGTGAGTGAGTGAGTGAGTGAGAGAGTGTGAGAGAGAGAGAGAGAGAGAGAGAGAGAGAGTGTGAGAGAGAGAGAGAGAGAGAGAGAGAGAGAGAGAGAGTGAGAGTGAGAGAGAGAGAGAGAGAGAGAGAGAGTGTGAGAGAGAGAGAGAGAGAGAGAGAGAGAGTGAACTAATGCGTTAATGCGCAGCAGTGAGAGGCCTCAGCAGAGCCATCCAACACAAACACTGCAGAGTCAGCATACAGGAGAGACAGACAGAGAGAGAGCGCGTGCGAGAGAGAGAGAGAGAGAGAGAGCACGCAAGAGAGCGAGCAAGAGAGAGAGAGAGAGAGAGAGAGAGAGCACGCAAGAGAGCGAGAGAGAGCGAGAGAGATAGAGAGAGAGAGAGAGAGAGAGAGAGAGCGAGCAAGAGAGAGAGCGCGAGAGAGATAGAGAGAGAGAGCGAGAGTGAGAGCGCCATTTCAGAGGTCATTTCTTTTGGTCCATTCATCATGAAATCTACAGGACAAAAGGTGTTTTCAAATTATGCCAAAAGTGAAAAACAAAAATGGAGATACAAGATTTTGTTC